ATCGGTACGCGTCGGACACCCCCGGCAATAACACTCAGGCAGACGTGGATCCCAGATCAGTCTGTCCATCCATCCATCCATCCGTCAGTCTCCTGAACGATGTCTGAGCCCTCCTGGCTGCTTTCAAACAAAGGTGGTCTCTGAAATCCGAAGATTTCACAGATTTTATGAGGATTGGTGACCAGGTAGGGGAAACTCGGATCAGCTCAGTGGGGTGCACAGGAAACACGGGTCCAGGTCCACACACAGGCAAGTCGGAGACGAATTGTCTGCGGGCAGGCAGAGATGGGGGGGAAAAAAAACATTTTATCTAACAGCCACCCCTACGCTATAAGCACAGGACAATATTTCTGTTTCCTTCTGTGAAGCTATTTTGAAATAAAGCCTTTGGTGGCCTTTCTCTTCTTTGTTTTAGATTGAGTCTGTCTTTTCGGGTTGTAGGAGATACACGGAATTGGGGGATTTTTACATTTATAGGTAGAAGAGTGCTATTCATACAAACATTAATAAATATATTTCTTTATGATCGTATCTCAAAAATGCAGTACTCCTGCTTTTAGATATTAACCGACATTTTAAAACAGGTTTAGCACCTCACCCTTAATCAATAAACCTCTTCTTATTTCTTCTCTCAGGCTTTTCGGTGCCCTGCCATCGGCAGGCGGAGGGCAGAGATGCTCCGGTGCCTGCGAATCCTACCCCAGGCTCTATCCTGAGCCCCTTTGTTTCTAACAACAGCTAATTGCCTGTACCTCAGTAACAGAGAGCATCGTATTACAGGCTTCTTTTGATATTAAACATTGAAAAGACTTAAAATTATTTTGCCTCTCCTCCCCCTACATACATCTGCAAACCATCTTTTTGAAAGATGTGGTTTTCCTCAGACCAGCTGTGGAGGGGATGTGTACGCGCCCCCCAACCCTCCCTCCCCACGGCAGCAGCCCTGGACGCAGCCACACGCCCAGAGTTTACCGGCCAGGCTCACGCTCTGCCATGGACACACCGTCTGCGCGGCAGAAGTACGGCAAAGCTGTCCTGACCACCGAGTCCTTCTTCCCCCTCCCCTCCCTTCTGCCATACGTTACCCGCGGCCAGGTTGCGGCCCTGGGCAGATTTGTGCTGGGCTGTCTCCGGGGGGTCGCTGACAAACCATCTTACTGGTGCACTCGAGACTTAAAGGCCTCCTGCAAACCCGACCCAACCTTTCCGCAGCTACGCTCTAAGGGATTTTGTTGCAAAGATCAAGTGATGTCAAGTGCAAAAGGACGAAAGTAACTGTTCTTTACTTTTAGGATCTGTTATTTACTTTTAGGATTTGTAAACCTCGATACTCGGGATTTTTAATATTTATCAGCCCATTTACAGGAGAAGTACAAAGACCATCACCTTTAGCAACAGATGCTGATTTGTGTTCTTTGTCTCGCTGAATAAATTCGACACCTATTTTTGCAGGCAGCAGAACCTGGACAAAATCACTTTTATGACTACGGATCCTGAATCGCTGTCCAGTGACCAGTCAGTTTGCAAAGCCCTGTTCAAGTGCTTCACAGCTGCTCCACTGACTCCGTTGGGTGCCGCCTGTGACCAGCACCTCAGGAAGGCTCCGTAAAGCCACGGTGCTTCCACCTCGCACCCAAAGCTCAGCAGTGCTCTCTTCCCCAGGGCACAACCCGAAGCGTAAGGCCTATGTTCCCATCTATCAAACAGGTTCATTATGAGCTCAGCGCCCAGCCTGTTGCAAACACCAGAAAAAGACCTCAGCTGATTTTGGAGGTCTTTGGATCAGTTGTTCTAGGAGACAGATTTGTACAAAGGCAGGAGGAGGAAGAAATAGTACTTGCGAGAATTGTGGGATCAACAACAACAGAAATGCTCCGACTGAAGGTGCAAGGCGGATAGCCAGTTTGCACGGCTGCGCTAAGCTTAGCAAAGGCAGGACTAGTCCCTACGACTTGAAGACATTAACCCCAGAGGAGCAGAAAGCTGATCAGCAAATGCTTTTGTTTATATCAAGGTGACTTCTACGGCTGTCTAAAAGCTGGGTTCTTATCTGGCTGACCCCATTCCCTCCCTTGTATCTGGATATAGCTGTCCATTGCTGAGGAGCAATTCATTCCCATCATTTTGGACCTCTGTTTTAAGGTGGGAAGAACTGGAGACACCTATCAGCCAGCACTGTGACAAACAGAGCTTGGATAATGACCAGCGACTAGATGCACAGCTTGCAGAGGGCTAAGGTTAAGCAAGGGAAATCCCACCTTGTGCCCTTCAGCTCACTCAGGGTTTATCGGCAAGTCAGCAGCTGGACTCAGAGGGATAGTCTTTGATAGGTGAAGGTAAAGGTGCTGCCAGTTCTCTTGACACCTCACCGTCTTGCTTGTTGTTTTTGAACTTAGATAATCCTTGCCACATAGTGACCGGGCAAACAAAGTCAGCAGTCCATGGCATTCTTGTTCAAAAAGTACATATATTTAATAATGATAACAAATACAATTTTTTCCCCTGGAATTTCCACTACTGTATTTCAGTAAGCCCCTTCTATGGTCACTGCAGTTCGACTGTACATAGCTACTGTCTAAGCTGGATACATGGTTATGTTTTAGCAGTGTGATACTCATATATTCTCTATAAATATAATAAAAGATTTAACATTTCTGTTTTCATTCTGAGTCTTACACATATTTACTGGGTTTTCACAAAAAATACATGTCTCTTTCCTGCCTCCCCCAACCTTTTATTGGGTTCCAAATAAACCTGAGTTTGTAATTCAAGTCAGTATGTGCCATCTGTTCAGGTACGCAAGTTGAACGCACGCAAAAGACGGGATTTCAGTGGTCCCCACTCACTAGCTTTGTGGTGCAAACATGTTCTTAGCATGAAGAACAAAACGCTTCGATGCTTTTAAGTGAACAGAAGAGCTAAAATGGACACAGGGATGCACAGGTGCTCTGTACAAACAGAAGGTGACATTTTTCAATCTGAAAATTAGTAAAATTGTTTCAGGGCTGTCTTTCTTATTGTATTGGGATTTTTGTGTATATTATTTTACAGGTATCTTAACTACCTCAGAGGTGGGTGGCCTCACTACACTGAAGAGTACAAGATGCAGATGGACTCCCCTAGACCAAAGTGATGGGCGGCTTCAGCGCCGAGGCGCAGGTCCCATCTGCAGGGATGAGAAGGGCGCTCTGGGCATTCACGCTCTGCTGGTTTTGAGAGCAAGCATTCAAAACACTGAACAGTCCAGTTATCTCTTCTGTCAGTATTTGGATTAATGTCCAATTTTTTTCTTGCAGATTTTGGTGTGCGCTATGCTGAGAACCGGGAACATGCACTCAGCAGGCTCTGCTGGGACCTTCTCACCTGCCTCTGGCCCTCCTCCCCCGGTCCCTGTGCATCTCTCTCACGACGCTGGAAGAAAAGTTTCTCAAACAGGGGTAACTCTCAGCATTTGAACAGACACCAAACCAATGGAGCCACAAAATTGTTTGCTAAAATAGTGATGAAAATAGGGCTTGGATTCCTACCGACGATCTCGAGGCAAAACCTCCATTTTCCACCAATGACTCCAAGCAGAAGACACCACCTCTGCTGCCCGGGTTTGAAATGACACTAAGTGGGTGGGCAGCCGCAGGGCACAGGCGGGCCAGGGCTGCCCGCTTGGGAACCAGACTGGAACAAGCTTTGTTGAGACATCTTGTACGCACAAACACATACGCAAGAGCGGTACAGATGAAAGAAAAGAGTAGTCTTTGGCTAAACCTTCTAATTTATAGGAAATGGTTTGAAGACAAAAACAGAACGAAAAAAATGCTGCCGACCTCTCAGATGTATCATTTACTTAGAAAAACAAGACCAGTATACAGAACATGGTGCCTTTTAAGAAAGTTAATCTTCACCGCTCATAACAATACTGAATTTTTGGTAACCACTGCATTACCAGTCTTGCAGTATAAAACGGCCCTGGTACAGGTTCATGTGTCCTTTGTTAGTCTTTCTAATTCACTGCAGTCTCTCAGAAAAGCCTTCAGGTGTGTCCAGCGCTGCCTTGCTGTAACAGAGGCTAACGCAGTCCTGCAGGCAGGTGCGCCACAGAACTAGCACGGCCGCAAAAATCGGAGGTGACTGGATTATTTAAACACGGCGGGTTGCAGTCTGGATTACTGTTTGAAGCATCCGCTTGCAGCCCCATCATATGAATGGGGAATAGGCCTCCGGTGTGGTGAATTTCCATGTGATCAAACTTGTTTTTAAATAACCATGTTTCTTCTGAGTGACATCATTAAATCATCATTTTCTTTAGGAAAAGAATGATTCCATTATTAGCTACTTTATGTAATTAACCATAAAATCTGCTCTGACTTCCAATACTCCCACTTTTTCTGAATGTTTAGATCACCTGTGTCTTTATTCAAGCTTCTACCAACTTCATCTTCTTGGCAGTGCTTGTTAGCAAGTTGACTTTGGACACAGTATCTTGAGTTTTTCCATTTATCTAGCCACGTGAACAATGCCTGCAGCAGTACCATGTACTGTGTGGCACAGGCAGATGGGGCACGGACAGTCTTACCACAGATCCTGGATGGGACCGGCATTCATGGCACCACGCAGATTACCTTGATGAATCAAACCGTTAACGCTCACTGCTCTTCCAATCAATGAATCAAACCGTTAACGCTCACTGCTCTTCCAATCAACCTTACTGCAATACTAGATGAGACCAGTGAAAATACATATTCACGTAGCTCTTTCAAGACATGTTTTAGTACACAGTCAGATGCCAAATGCTAATTATTTCTTAACAGAACAAGTAGAGCCCTTTTCTTTCAACTTTAATGTATAGGACAATGCCTTCCCTACAAGCAGACCTCTGATTTTCTATGTTGGACTACTGTAGTGTATTACGTAGCGACAGTAACATGCCTGTGGCTTTCCCTTCTTGTCAAAAGTTAAAAAGGTTAGGTCCCAGAGAACAGCAGTGCAAATCCCGGGATGTCAGACTAACACTGGCCGCTGACAGCATCTGCTCCATTGAAGGAAATCTGCGTGGGGCTCATCTGCTGCAGCTGAGGCATCCTCGCTTCCAGCGGCTTGTCGTTCGCCGACTGCATCGTCTGGTTCCTCTTCCGCAGCATCTGTCCGATCCCCATCATGGGGAATCTGCCTCTGCTTTTAACACAGTTAGGGCTGCCCAAGGGGTTGTTGGAAACCAGCTGAGTAGGGGACGCTGCTTCTTCCTTTGCCGGGTATGCTTTTTCTTCATACGTGAAAGAGACTTGGGTGGGGTGGACGGGGGAGGTGCTCCCTGGCTGAAAAAGTGGGGACAGTGTCCTTTCACTTGAGCTTTTGTAAGGGAAATTCATCGGCGAGCCTAAAATCCTGTACTGATGAGAGGGGGAAACCTGGTCTATTTGGTCCTCTCTGTCAACCGACTCGAAGGAGTGCACAATATTCAGGATGAGAGGAGAGTCCTTTGCCCGGCCCCCGATCCGGGCCGGCTCCTGCTGCGGAGACTCCTGCCTCTTGAGGAGCCGAGGGGTCCGGGGGGGCGGCTGCTGGACCTCGAGGTACTCCAGCGAGCTGGAAGTGACGCAGCCCGTCTTGGCTGCCAGGGGGTCGAGGAAAGGGCTCACCCCACCGCTGGAGTCTGCAAAGCAATCAGACAAGGAACCAGAAGAGCAGATTGCATTTAACAGCACTGCCTTCTCTGCCTTACGGCAGACAGCGTCCGACATCACCTTGCACAAATTTTCAACGAGCGTGACAAACGCACTAGTTAAAACAAATGGTCTTAGGGATATACTCAGAACCTAATTCCCTGACTCTCATTTGATACTTACGTTGCTGTTTCACGGGTAATTTATCTGCCACTTTCCTCAAAGGCAGGAAGAGTGCTTAAACTGAGTGAGACAAGGACATGAAATGGAAAATCACAGATGTCTTCAGCTGTTTGTATTAATTACATCCTCTAAGGCCACGTCTGAGAAATCTCACATTTATCCTGTCTTAGCACAACTTTGCATGTTTTTTACTGGGTCTGCGTACTGTATTCACTGACATACCTAGAGACACAGGGGACAACAGTGAGTTAATCTCTAATGTCTTCCCTTGCATTTTGGAACAAAATCTGTTCTTGGTTTCACACGTGTAAATATGGAGTAGCTGCACTGGCCAGATTCAGGCTGTTACAGTTGGAACAGATTTGCTGCATCGATTGCAGCGAGAATCTTCCTCTAGCAAGGACTGAATATAAATGGAACAATCTTTGCAGGATTTGGCCCAGTAAAACAAAACAGCTCATGGAGAAGATCTGCTCAGCTTTTACAGGATGCTGGCACTCACTTATGCCAAGCTAGCCGCAAGAAAACACGTTTTGCTGCCTTTATGGAAAGCTGCCCAAGGAGCCTGCTTTGCTAGGTTCCCCCTGACTGAAAGAATTGCGGACCGGCAGTTAATCACTGTCCGCGAGCTCCCTCGGCCTCAAACCATCTAAAAGGGATATAAAGTAATTTAGGTCTGCGAGCCCTCAGGTCACAGCCACAAATCTCAGATGTATTTTGTTTGAAAGGGACGGTCTTGGCAGGGGTTGAGACCTGAATGGATGTACGGGACAAAATCACCTGCATTGAGAGTTGTCTGGGAAAAGCAGACCAGGGTTAATCTGACTAGTTTCTTTTTAAAACTGGTCAAAATTATTTGACCACTTCTCTTAAGAAGTGTCAAAACGCGGTTTCCATAAGCAGAGAAATGCTTTAGCTAAGATCTGAATGATTTTCAGGCTTCAGTTCAAAAAAGCAGTGAGAAACCCAAAGAGGAAAAAAATGAACTAGGTTTGCTTCCCCTTGTGCCTCCCTCCCAAAAGGAACAACAAATCTGAACAAAAAGAGCATTTTAAAATGTTTTTTACATTTTTCACAAAAGGTACGTCCCATTTCTGACCAGCTCTCTGGACTACTGCTACCTTGCAGCAGAAGTGCCTGTGCTGCCAGACAAACACCATGCCCACTTTTTTTCCAGGTAGAAAGCATCAAAAGATAAATTATCAAGTCACAAGAAAGAGCATGAAACCACCACAAGCCACCACTCTAAACCCCCCCCCTGACACCACAGTAAACGTTTTACATTGTCGTATCTCCCCCCACTGCTCTGTAATCACCTCCCCTTGTTTCGTTCCTTCATTTACCAGCTGGCCACATCACCTTCCTGCTCCTCAACGTCTCCCATCCACATGTGCGCTACCGACACCCCACCTTCCCCGCTGACTCCCCTTTCCCTCCACTCCTTTCTTCCGCCTTCTTTTGCGAGCAGCTCTCACCCATCCCTCCCAGGCTGCCTCCTACCCTGCGTGATTAACGCTCTGCTCTCCTCTGGCTGTCTCGTCTTTTCCTTTCCCTGCTAATGCTTTTCCTCCTCCTTTGGCTGCTGGGGTTGGCAGTCACACCTGCATTTCTTCTTGGCTGCCTATTTCCCCTTCCTCCACCATCAGCCGCTGCCCACTGCTTCTCCCAGAGATGCCGCCGTTACCGGCACTCTCCTCAGGGTTGGGGATTTCTTCCCGTGCCACCCCTTAGTCCCCTCTTAGCAAAATGCGTTCGCCGGTAGGAAGAAGCTTGTCTACCGGCAGTGATTTGTCAGTGATCTGGGGTGGGTGTTGATGCTTTCAAAGCACCAGCGTGAAGTGCAGGTGATTTTGTGTAAGTATGTATAAACAGAGAAAGCAAGCTTTCTTTAAAACACTGTGGGAATTCTGTCAAAGAAAGAGAGAAGTAAAAGTGAGGATTCATGGCTGCTGAACATTGTGATGGTTCCCTCAGGATGTTTCGTTCAATGTTTGACTACGTTATCCAGTCCTCTTCCACACAGCACCTCCAGAGCAGACAGTGAATGCAAGCCCACAGCCCTTTGCCACGAGCATTTACCAGCAAGCACACAACACACAAGATGCTGTCGTTAATACCGCGCGTGCCCACGCATGCACATGCGCACAGGGACACACCACTGCCATTCCTCCCACTGACCTTTCTCTGGACCTCCAGCCCTGGTGACTTTCCGGTCCTTCAGCAGAGCCTTGGTGCTATGTATCTGTGAGATAAGACAGGAAGAAGGCTGTCTATATGAAACTGGACTTTTCTCAGTTTTCTTTGGGAGCTGACGGTGAAGAATCTCCCCTTTCTTTTCTTGTTCTTTGAGTTTTTTGTCCTTTAAGTTGTAAAACAAACAAGAACAATTTGGTTTACTTAAGGGAAGTTTAAATGACCCCCAGACTTATAAGCACACCACTTACCGAAGCTCAATTAAAAAACTATACATTCACAAGGAGCTTATCCTGGCTACTCAAAGTAACTAAATCTTCCATGTCTCATTTTCCTCTGATCTGTTTGACATGATTTCATGGCCCCCATCTGCTCTGACATTCATGAAGTGTGAAAGTTGGTTTGGGAAAATTAACGGAAAAGGAAAGCTTTCTCTTCAGAGGTCCTTTGTCCCAGGAGACCTCGCTGGAGCAAGCAGATACAGGTTTGTGCTCCTCCTGAAATTTGCCTCCCTATTTAAGCACCAAAAAAAGGTCTTTGATTTCTCTTTCTACAACATTTGAAAAGGTGAGCTGCAAAGCTTTAAAGAAGTTTAAACTCTTTGAGTCATTCATCTTCTGTCCAAACAAGATCCAGAGGAATACGGCCCGTGCTTTTACAGCATCTCTGCAACTGCAGAAGACATGGAGGGGGAGAAAATTACTGACCCAACCCTTCAGTGAGCCCTAACTCCTTTTTGTGATGGGGAAGGCAACTGAAGGTGGGATTGCAAGTGCGTATGTCCTAAGAGATAGGTTTGCTCTTCAGTGATGATAGAGGAAAAACAGAACCTAGGAGTGGGACTCTGAAGAGGAATACAATTTTCAAAGCACTGTTTTACGGTAAAAATTCATTGTATCTTCTTTCAACATGAATCACTAGATTCCGCAAACTGCGCAACACTCTTTACCTGCCACTGATTTCAGAAGGAGCCAAAAGTCTTCTTTCATGTCAAAAAATCAGGCATCGAATTTGCGGCTTTGTTTTGCTACCCCTCAAAGGCTTCAAGGATCTCCTGCCTTTCTGGAACAAAGCTGTGTGGTCTGGTTTGAGATGCCACTCTCAAAGAAATGGAGCTTTTGTTTTGGTTGCTTTGGTTTGGGGTTGTTTCTGTGGTCGTAATTCTCATTTAAGTAACATATTTTGCTGTGTCTTATTAAAAAGTCACTGTAAGTACAAGTCTTTTTCTAAAATGCAGGAAAGTTCCTTCACCCAATTATGTGCCTGTATTTTGTCTGGTAATTATGCACTGCCAAAGGGCTGGCTCTCTTGATTTTCTTTTGAAAGTTGATTGACATGAAGCCTATGAAACCCCTCAAATGCAAAGTAATGTGCATACATGTGAGAGAGGGAAAGAAAGACGCAGAAGACAACTTGGGTTCTCTTGGGCCACTAAACAGCCCTGGAAACATATTAAGACACCTAAGAGCAAAATAAGCGGACTACACTCGTTACGATCATTCCCAGCTCAGACAGAGTCCAGCTCCGTGCACAGACGGTCTCTGGGCACCGCTGGGCTCATTAACCTTTGAATTTTCAGAAGTTATGGAGTTGGAAGGAGGAGCTTCAGTGAATCATGAACTAGAGTTTTTCGTTTTATTACAGAAGTGGTTAGGTGACTTGGGAGAGCGAGAACCAGAGACCCTCTGTGAGCTCCTCACTGTCTCCACCTCAGTCTCCCTTCACACACGTGTTTTTTTTTCCCCAGCCTTCTCTCCATCCATCCCTTACCTCCTCCGATTTATTTCCCTTCAGCTAGCTAAAGCTGGCTAACCCTTCCGCAGAGACAAACCCGCACATTATGGAGCTGTCATCACTTTGCTTGCGTGATAATTCTTTGTCCACCTGATGTCTCTCCCCTTGCCTTCAGAGGCTGTAAACACCTCCGGCACCGAGTATTTATTCCTCCCTGCCCATGCTGTGCTTGGAACAACACAACATCTGATCGGTCCCAGGAACCATCTTGGCGAGCACAGTCACTACCGATGACGATGAAGTAATAACAACAGCAATAACAATGGCAATAATAATAATAATGCTGTGTAAATAACACCCTGCGACAATGGAGTCAGTGGGAGCCGCACAGTTAATTTTGAGCCCACCACACTATTTCTCCTCTCAAGGCACTGAAACTCTGCTGCCAAGTTCAGCAGAGACTGGGCTCTACCGAGTATCTTTTTTTAAAGGTACTTGTGAGGATGAGCCCAAGTGGTGACTATATTAAGCCCAAAGGAGCTGATCAAGATTGTTAGCGGCTTTCTGCTATTTTTGATAGGTGAGGAAAGAATGTGCATGTCAGTTGCTGCAGCATCTGTCGGAACGCAGGACGTTTCAGTGCTGCGATATTTTTACCCTAATGGTGCGAGAGCCAAGCCGCGGCGCCTCACCTGCCCACTGCTCCTGACTTTGCCTTCACACTGCTGTTATGTTTTCTAAGCAGCAGTAACACAGCAGTCATACCATACAGTTAAAGCACCCACAAAAAAAAGAAAATTCACATATCCGGTGTTAGCAATTAATTAGTTTACCCTGAATGAACATTCAAATAGTCTTAAAAGTATTTTTAAAACTTACTAACATTGTTTCTCTTAGACGATGGTTGTGAGAGGGGAAACGACCAAAATCCTAAACTCCCAACGTGCCACATACTATTATATCTCAAAAGGAAAGGAAGATTTCCGTTGGGGGAGTTATAAAAGTTCACTCTTCACTGTACCGTGCAGAGCCATGTAATGGCATGCTGTCACACAAAGCAGGAGTTGTACCGGTATGTTATACTTGAATAGGTTTGGCATTACATCATCCTCTGCTATTTCCTGGCCTGACCTCGACCCTAAAACCTACCTCTTCGTCCCAGATTGGAAAGGACGATAAAGAGTATTTGCCCTGGCCACATCTGAAATGGTGACAGGACAATGACACAAGTCCTTAAAAACTGCAAACTCCCTGAGTCTGAGCCTGCCAGGTGCCCTGCGGGAGGCAGGTATCCCCAGCACAGCTCCCTGGCTGCGGGACGGCCGCTCGTCACCTGAGGCCTCGCCGACAAGATGGGAGAGATGGGGAGGGAGAGACAAGACTGCTGCCGCCCTCCCTCCATCCACCCCGAGCACTACCACGAAATCAGCCCGCAAACCAGCCTGCCGACTTAGCACTGGCAGCAGCTCCAGCACCCTCAGCCTCGGCGCATCCATCCCAGCATCCCAGGTGCGGGATCCTCACAGAGAAGAGGGGCCGGGCATGGCCACTGCCCGTCTGCCCCGCCGCCGGCCCCAGCAGCAGGCAGCCCCCCGCCCCAGGCAAGCTCCTGACTCCCCGTATTTCACATGGCTGGGGGGTCGGCTGCGGGAGCTGAAGCCACCCAGCTCGCTCCCTGCTATTCCCATGGCAACGCACAGCTCCGCACTCTGCAGCCTCTGCCTAGGGACCAGTGCCTCCTCGTTCCCCCCTGGAAACGGGGGCTGAGAAGGGGACTCAATCTCCAGCTCATCAACCTGCCTGAGCTTACAAAACCCCGACCCCTGCGCCCGGCGGCACCCACTGATCCCAGTGGCATGAGCACTACCAGGGCTGCGCTCCCATCCACACGAAGGCATTCCAGGAGAGACGTCTACCACAGTTACAAACGGCAGTAGCATCCCTGGGTCTGTATTCACCCACGTGTGCTGCTTCAACTGCCCTGGTACAGTAAGGGTAACACAACCTCCTTCTGTAAATACAGCTAAAGCGATATAAAGCACACTTTATACTCAGCTATGCCCATGCAGAAAGAGAATATACTGTATTATTATCGCAGTGTCTGCACTGTGATTGCATCACGGTTAACTATTTCAAGAAAGAAATGACACTCGCTCATCCTCTAAATAGCTACACTGGGACTAACTGCGTGCAGGAGGGACTTTGGAGGGAGCCTTTATCCCTAAGCGTGCCTACAAACCAAACTGGGGTCATACACTGGCACTACCGTCAGCTTTCCATTATCCTTAGGGAAGTCAAATGTCGGTTCCCTTCTAGGGGCGCGGAGAGTTCAGGACCACCACCAAACCAGACCCTGCACTCCTCTCTCGGCTACACGCAGGTGCACAGGCAGGGCTGGCTGCAGACCCCCCTGCACGGGGTAGGTATGCCAGAGCCGTAAGCTAATGCCGGCCGGCCGGCCGAGCCACCCGTGTCTCTCTGTCACTGCACACAGAAGTGACACCAGCAGGGCCCCGAGAGCATCAGGATGCACCATGCGATGTCTGCAGTGTTCACCTCCAGGCACCTGCCTGTGTTTCCAGGGAAAGGTTGCCCTGCAACAGCTTCAAGTTAGCTGTCAAGAGCATTTTGAAATATTATATTCATTGAGTCTACCCACTGCTGATACATTTTAAGTAAGGTGGGTTTTGATTTATGTAAGAAAAGAATGATAAGTGCTTTGCCCTGATATTTCCATCTGGCTGGCAGTTCAACTTGTCTTGCAAGCAGACTTTAAAATAATCAACACCAGCCATGATATAAATCTGCCCCTGCAATTAGATCATCAATCCAGCGCTGAAGAGTAGCTTTTGAAATAGGTAGACTCTTCAAGAATACTGCTCTTTGTGTTGGTAGGTAAGACTTGCACAGCTCGTACTACTCTCGTAAGTTTAGTGCTTGGCAAAGAATCAGCCACGGAAGAAAAATCCAGCCACGAGAAGACTCCTATTATCTGATATGTATTCTTTTAATACAAACTACCTTCTCTATTGGCAGGCAAAAGGACTGGAGACCGACAGAGCAAAAAGTTAACCTGGTTAAATCTTTTCACTGGCCAAGGGAAGTCCCTCACGATGCAGTGGGCTAGTTCTGCATCACTTCTGCTAAGAAGCAAAAAATACTAGCCTGGGCAGTGTGTTGTGCTAATACAATTTCATCATTTCTGGCAGTCAAGCCTGGGTTGACCCAGGACACCAGGAACACCAGGTGACCAGGGAGGGTCTGGAGACTCATGGCAACAGGGTTGTGGTCTTCTTAGAACACCAGCAGCTTGCACCCCAGAATGAAACTACGGAGCTCTCTGAAGAAGTTTGCATTATTTTGCTAAGAGAAGCATTTAAAACTTTAGTTTTCTTCATAAAAGCTGAAAGTCACCTTTACACTTCCGCCCTATGGGATTGTTATGTGTTCCTTCGAAAAGAAATTGAGGGGATTATTTGTCCTGCACAGGCAAGACCACAGGTCTTTTTTTTTTCTCCATAAGTCCAGAAACCCATTGCCTTAATCACAACTGCCAAGGATCCTCAAAATCAGTCTGTTTTCAAAGTACCTTAGCGAGTTTTAATGAGCTTTACCTCAAAGGAGTCTTTATTTGCCTTGTATTTTTCTATCTGGTATAGCTGGTTCTTGTGGCAAATATTATCCGGGCCTTCAGACTTCTGTGGAGAGAGAAGCACAGAAAAGTAAAGTATGTAAGACAATGAGAGAAAACTAACGTTCAGTTACTGTTTAATGGACCATATCCACTCTTGGCATTCAGTGGAGGTGCATCAACTTACAGAGATGGTGAATTTGGTCCATTACATTTTAAATATCATTGATGGCATCATCATTAAAACAAGCATGCTAAAAGAACTGAGAAAAGAAAAAAATGAAGAAGCTGTTGTCAGGTTGGAAGGCCGTTGGGGACAATTTCTCTAAGAAGCAAACACATGAAGAGGAAAACTCCACACAACCACCGTCCTGCCCGTGCAGTCATGTAGGAGCCTGGAGACCCTCAACCAGTTAAGATTCCTCGCCAGACCACAGGCAGCTGTGGGCAGAGGTCAAGGGAAGAGAGCGTGCAGCTTGTCTTTGTGCGCCGTGCCCATCCCAGCACTCCAGCAAGTACCACGCAAAACCTGGCCGGAGAGCTCAGCTCCCCAGGATGTACAAGGACGGGTGACATGTGGCAGCAGACTCCTGCCCTAGAGAAACAGCTTAATCTTAATAGCTCTTAAGCTTCCTCTTGATTTCCTGAATCAAATTACATTGTGTTATTGGCATTTCAAGCAGCAGAATTATCTCAACACACGGACACAGTACGTCACAAGTCACAAGTAAGGCTCTGCATGGCAACAGTTTCCTTTCTATAGGGTCGCTGCCTAGCTGGAGGGAATCTCCTATGGAAACAGGGACTCGCGAGACATAAAGCCTATCAGCAAATATCTCTGCAACCTGGGGAATTCTTATCTGAAATAATGTTATTCTTTTGCAAGGAATACTTCCCCTTCATGGTTACTCCTACAAAATTAGGAAAAAAAACCAAACAACTTTGGGTAATGCCTTGATATCAAATGCCAGCAAGCAGGGAAACTTTTAGCACTTTTTTTACCCTCCTCACCCACGTCCAAAGAATCGGCATCAAGCAGTACTTACCCTGAGGCTTGCCAAGTAGCGCTCCAGCTTCTTATTAAGTAGAAAGTAGATGGCAAGTGTGTGACTTGCCCTGTTTGAGAGCACAGTGTTGATAACATCGCTGTTCTTGTAGCCAAGCTTCTCGGTCATATGGAGCAGCACGCTTTGGCTGAGGTCCTCAAGGTGAATCCTGCACAGAGAGAGAGGCAGAGCACGCCGTTCACAGCGTCCTCCCAGTGACAGAGCCTTGCCAGCCACGGGGGATGTGGCAGAGCGTAAAGAAGAGGCCTGAAAGGCTTGGTAACATGTGAGTGATCAGCTCTCTCCTCCCGTGAGCAGGCACGAAAAGGGCAGACTATTTGGGAACCACAGGCACTGCGGGATGCTGTGGTAGCTGAATGAACAGCACTCTCCCCACCAGGTCCTATCCAGACACAAAATGGCACTGTGATGCTCAGGATGCCGCCATTTGTTACCCTGCCTCCAACCAGTGAAGACTGCCAAGATCATCCAGCTGGTTTTCAAGGAAACGAGGTAAAATCCAACTCAAGCAGCTACGTTTGGCTTTCTAAATGACCCTTTCCTTGTCATCAAACACCACTGCATTCACCTTCGTTCCCTACCTGTTGCACAATATTCATGCACTAAGTAGCTAGGGAATTTGACGCTGGAGAAAGGGGACGTACAGGGAGAGTTATTAAAGCAGCTCTCAAAATGGTAAAACTGCTGCTATGCTCATGTCAGTTAAAAGCACAAGTACAAGACATGTTTATGTATGTGCTCTTCTCTAAAGCCTATAACAGACTCAGCCAAGGCAAGAAATGGAGTACTGCAGCCTTGTGGAAATGGCAAAGCGTCTTCTCAGTCTAAGTTAAAACCAGATTTTCCGAAGAACTCTGCTCCTATTTAGACCTCTAAATGAGCTGGCCAGCTTCCCAGATGTACCCGTCAACTCTCATCCATCTCCGAAGAAATGCTGGGCTTCATTTGGTTTCTAAAGGATATTCCTGGATCCTAATATCAAGCCTAATATCTGGTTAAGGCAACTTAGGGGACCTTAGGTTGTGGGCTTTTTCACAGCCTGCCTTCCCCCTTCCAAAGGACCATTCTCTACCTTTCCCGCTCCTGCCCTGCTGTCCCCCTGTCCTGGGCACCTGTGATGCGAGGAATGCCCAGACAGCAGTCTGGGTCTGATGTAGAGGACTTAGACGAAATGTAGAACACAAGCTGGAAAATCTCAAGTAACTCTTTTCCTTTATTCAGCGTGCTTATTAACAATCGTTCTGCAGCTAAGGAATGCTTGGGGTTGGGTTTTTTTAAGTTCAAAAGCAAAACTTATCTTGGTCATTGCACGTTAAAGCATCTGGACAGCAAAAGAAATTCAAGTAATTTCTACTTGAAGTGCTCAGCAAAATGGGAAAATTTTGCTTGCCTTCGGGGAATTTTTTTAATGAAAGCAAGCTTAAAAAAAGCCTGGGAGAATCTCCTGCAAATGCAGTTTCTGCCGTTCTTCCACTTTATCTCCACGCTCTCCCCTTTCTTACCATGTTCCTGTCTTGGGAACAACGCGTGTTACCCCTGAAATGGTGGAACAGCACTGCAAGAACATAACACAGATTCTTGCTTGTGCTGATTAAGAGAGGAAGTGCTTTTTTGCAAATTCAATGGTGGATTTTTCAGAACTGTTTTGGTACATCTTACCCACATCTGCACGCTAACAAAAACTTGGAGAAACTCTGTCGAAGCTGACTCTAGTGGTACTTCCTGAGGCAAGCTCAAAAGGAGTCAGGCCATGTCTTTAAATATTTCTTTACAAATAAAATTTATAGAGTATTTTCCCTATAAATCTCCAGTATGACAAAGTCTAGGTAGGTCAAGCTTGGGGCATCAACTAATTAAACCAAAGAAATATCATCCAAAAAATGAAGTGAAGGAATCTGTATGGCTTTTATCTTTACAGTTTCACATAAAATCCGGGTTCAGATAGAAGGAGGATCTACTTTTCTTTTGATTTCAGACCAAATAATAAGAAAAGCAGTGCAACGAGAAAGAAAGAAACTGGTTTTTTCAACAGCAAAGCATAGCATTCCACATTGGTGTTCCCTTCAAAAGTGCTTATAATAGGAGAGGATTATTATAATCACCATACATACACATATATGCATGAGCAAATATATGCTCTCTCTATAGTTTGGCACTGCATTTTCTTCTGTTCTTCCATTTGATTCCCTTGCCTTTAGGAGGGAATGATTAATGGGCACTCCATAAATGAGGCGCGTTGCACAGCTCTTCTATCTCATATAGGCTGGCCTCTTCCCTGAGTCACCTACGTAACTGCCCCAAGGGGCAAACTCTAGAAGGGATGCTTCCATCACAACCTGACTAAAGCCTGACAACTGCAAGCTAGGAATTAAAAAACAGAGGCATGAAAATGTACCTACAAATGCAAAAGAATTGTGAAAGCACATTCAAGCCCTATTTCTGTCTTTTTTCCTCTTTTCTGCAGATAAGACACACACAGCAAGAGAATTAAATTACCCATATAGCTCTCAGTTACACTCACATTCACTTAACAGATGCTGCGTTTAGTAGATTGATTAGACCCATTATGACAGTGATTTCATTAGCTTAACGACTCATTCAGTTTACACTTGTTTTCCCTTTCTATACCATACAATGTTCATATGTACCATACTTCACTACACTCCAATGCACCATAGAAACTCAGATTTCCTTTTGTTGGACAGCATGCTACGCAAATTAACTCACTGACTTAAATTTGGGGCAGTGACATCGAGATAATGCGTCTGCCTGTTCTCATTCTTATTCCTTGTGAAACAACTGTTTGCAGGGGCCATCTTTATATTCTGTCCATGCAGGCCTGGGGATTGCAGGCAGCTGGCCTCACATTTGCCCTCCCCGTTTCAGTGGATGGCTCTAACGATGCCTCCAGGCACCCAAGCTGCTCAACATCTACCCAACCACATTTTGAGAGCGGGAGACCTCTTATTCTCATCAGGTCAAAGAACGGCACAGTTGCAGTGATTCTCCGTGATGCAGTACTTGAAAGTTAAGACACGACCTCTGGAAGGGAAATGCTTGCTGCTAAATCAGGGCACCTCTGTTCCCTGTCAATGTGGAGGGAAAAGGGAGGTGACTCCGGTAGGAGCCCGGACTGTGCGGGCTGCGATCTGTAAGGCAGCCAGCAGTAACGTCAAAGGCAAAAGTCTCCAAAAATTGCTAAAGGCTGGCCCGAGACTGAAACTGATCTCCTGTGCCCAGGTCTCAGCATGACCAAGCAGCGGCAGAGCTCGTCGCCGGCTCCAGCAGCACACAGGGGTGCTGCAGGCACCTCTCAGCCCCACGGCGTGGGACCCTCGGCTCTGAGACAGTCCCTGTTCATCTGGCTAGCGGTGCAGCTGAGGAGAAAATGGGTGGGAGGTACTCGTACCAGCAAAGCTGTGACCTGGGTTGAATGCCGAAGGCTGGCTGTATGCATGGCTTGAGCACGTCTATGGGACTGTGTCCCTCAGGGCACCGACACAAAGAGAAGGCCTGGCTGGTGAACACCAAATCATGTCTGGGTGGAGGACAGTGGTTCAGACGTCCAGACAAAAGTCAGTCGTCATGCCCCCAGGTATACGCTACATCTGGTATCTGGCAACTGAGTAAACTGTAGGGGGGAAGTTAGGATCTTCACTTAGGGACTCTCCTCTTAGCAAGTCAAGGCAGAAAATTTGGGGCACTATCAAATTTTAAGCACGAGAATTAGGCTTTAAGTTGCTGTCTTTGCCTTAGTGTTACTTAGGATCTTGGCCTGCAAGCTAGTAACTTCTGCAGTGAATCCTCCACAGGTACTAGATTGTGTATGACACAGCTGAAGGGCTTTGATACAGGAAGGAGGTTTTATCTGATCAAATATAGACATATATTTCTAAGTGAGTTGCCGGAGGCTCCATTTACAATCACTGGAGAGGAACTCTGATCTCCTGGGCACAAAGTCATCCTATTGCAGAATCAAAATGAAGTCAGATGAACTGTTCTGTAAAAAGTGCCCTTACTTCTCTCCATTGACTGTAATGAGAGCCCAGGCTGGCTGGCTCATGTGTCGACTCTACACTGCAGATGTTTAAAGTCAAGCAAGATTATTTCTAACCAAAGTGGACCACAAGTATCTTTCTTTCTTCTTCTTTTTTCCTAGATGGATGTTTGACTGGCCATGAGATTTCTTCTCTCTTTGCGTTGTCATGCATTCAGCACTGCACAGGTATTCGAGATCAACAACCAACCAACAAAGCAAGATCATTTAAGTCTGACCATTCTCACCACGGTTTGCAAGTTTACCTAACCCACAGAACCTCATGTATATATCACAAATAGGCATAGCCTCTACTGGGAAAGTAGCTTGGCTTTTACGGACAAACAAGGAGATCAGAACTACCTGTCACACATACCCATTCCAAGGTCTGGCGGCATTTAATGATATGATCTGCACCCCAGACCACCCTGCAAATAGTGCATCATATTCCAGCTTCTAATTTAAGGCATTGTTTTTGACCATTTCAAGCAATGCATATTCAATGGCCAGTCCTAACATCTTTTAGGACAGAGTCACAAAAGCAATCCCAGAAAATGCACTGGGATGCTGTGACACAAATGGAACTGAAACACCAGAGCTGCTCATGTTTTAACATATGTAATGTATATACACCCTGGCAGGCTTTCTCCACTCTTCTGCACTATACCTGTTTGGATACGTGACATTAGGTGGTGCTCTTCCAGGGTAATTCTCATTAAGCCATCGATTTGCAAGTGCCTGCTGGATGTTTGGTCTCTTTGCAGGATCTGGCTCTAGCAGAGATCGTAGAAAGTTTATGGCCGCTGTGAAGAAATCAAGAAAAAAAACAATAGCTATGTCATCTGCTTTATGACTTAACACAGTAGTCGAGTTACTATAGGTGTGTAGTCTGACCAAGGGTATACTAAAAAGGAATGTTTTCCTTACAGTGTGTTCTAATGTCCTTGAGAAAAAAGGAAAACTGATAAGGGATTAGTAAGTAAAATAAACAATGATTTATAGCCACAATGATTTATAGAGTCATTAAGGAGAGGAGAAAAAGCACCTTTTGTTTCAGAGCTTGTTTGATGTTTCCGAGTAGGTTAGCCAAAACTTAATTTTTGTGTGAGGACAAGAGGCTGGAGTCAGGTCAGAGGCAAATCACTCAATCTGTGTTTAAAGTAGAAGGAGATGGACTCGGGGTAAGTAGAGGGAAGGGATGCACAGCTGGGAGGGAAGACATGGAGAACTGGGCTCCCTTTGACATTAGAAGGACAAATTCTCTCCTGGCTTCCATCCAACCTACAATCAGTTGCAGGAGGTTTTAGCCCAATTAAAAGAGTACAGTAAAATTAATGGGCTTTGTTCTGTTTTCAGACACTGAACCTTCAACTTTCAGTGACATTCAACCATCCCTCGGGATTTTCTTGCAAAACCCCTCAAAAGTACTTTTCTGACATTTTTAAATCACGTGCTTCTTATATGGTTAGGAGCAATGAAATCAAGTGATTTGCTTAAAGACTCACAAGAAGTGTCTATCTGAGCTGAAAATAAACTCTGGTCTAACTAGGTCTGGCCTTTATTCCTCAGATTATCAAGGCTAGATTCACTTTGTTGGCTACAAGATAGTGAAGAGTTAACTACGTCCTCTACAATTCCCTCCATGAAAGATAAAGAAACCTAATTCTGGGAAAACCAAGATCAGAATGATTTTGTAAAGGAGATACAGCCAAGTAAGATGATGCTAAATGAGTCCCGAACGAAGTCAACGGCAAGCAAGAGGCAGAAGTGATGGCTGTGGCACAGTTTTCTCCAGGTCAGACGGAGAGGACCTTGGGGGCTTTTTTCCACCTTCTTCCAGAGCAGAGCTGCAGTTCCCCTCCAGTGCTCTCCTGCCCGTGCCGTGTTTACTCGCCTCCCGAGGAGCACAGGCAGCCGGTGCAGTGGCCGCACTGCAGGGCCGTGGCACGGGACAGTGTCCTCTCGGATGTGTCTTCTGGGTACGCTGCAGCACAGCCTTGCCAACACGGCTCCTGCAGCCCAGCGCAGGCAAACCAAACCCCTTAAAGGCTTGTGTTACAAAGCAGATCAAACTGGACGTGCTAATGCCTCGGCGATAGAAAACTGTGAAATTATGAGCCAGTCCTCTCATTCAGCTTTACAGGTGTTTGGTCTCACCACCACAGCATGCTCCCTCAGCACCACGCCATCCCCTGCTCTGGCTTTTCTTCTCGTCTCCACTTCATTTCTCTGTTCCAGAAGGAAGACCATGAGCATACAGAAGTGGTAAATTGCGGGAAAAAAGCAGTGTGTGCAAGGTGAATACCAACTTCCTGAGCCACTGAACTCTGCCCACCTAAAATCAATAATCAGATAGCTGTGTTGTTTAAGAAGCGTAATGGAAAACTGTCTCCTAAATGGGAAAATCAAACACTAACTCCAAATCTTCCTTGTCGCTACACAGTTGCTTTGGCCGTTCACAGTCACCCAACATTTTAACTGACACAAATAAAATATACTCTTGCTTAGTGATAAAACTGACTACTTTTACAATGGGACTGTGTGTTCCCTAACTGAAATTAAATAGTGAAAGGCAACATACTGAACAAGCAAAACAGACTCCTGCAAAAAAATCTCTACTCTATATGTGAATTTACAGAAAAAGAAAACCCGATTAAAGAAAAAGATCCATAAACCTAAGAGGTTAACAAACGCAACAATTCGCAGAGCAGAGGCACAATCCAGCAGAGGACCTGCTGACCTAAAGCCTAACTGTGGCAAGAACAAATGTCACCTTAAATCTCAGTTTGCCATGTCCGTGAATGTGCAAGGCCACTGACTTAGATCAAGAACCAATGCGTACCTCTGTTCACAGTGAGTAAGGTTAACACGTTTAAATCTCGTCTGTTAATTTGCCATCACCTCTGAAAGTTCAAGCTGCTATAGTTCTTACAGGATTAACAAAATTCCTTTTTCACTGGAGACAATAGTGTCGGTGAGCTACAAATGCTACAGAGATGCATTTGTGAGAAAATCTGATCTCCATTCTAAAATGGTAGGATGAATGAAACAGTAAAATGAAACCTGTCAAAAGTAATGTTGTCTTTTTTGCTCCCCAAGGTCTGGTCTTCTACAAGCCTTTTGTGCGTGATTCAGCCTTTAACACGAGTTGTCCCAGTGAAGTCAGTGATATCTCCCATTTAAAGATGACTGAAAGAAAACAATGATTGGGGAAACAGTCCGTTGTTTCAAAGACACTACACAGCCATCATATAACTGCTCTTTATTGGTAAAAGCCTCACTCTGGGAGATAAGTTTGGTAAATTTTCTGCCAAACTTGGAAAATGTTAACTATGACATGCAAGTCCTGGAATTGAAGATCAACTTTGCAATTGATGCAGGATTTGGCATCTAGACCAGTACAGCATGAAGCAGTCTGTATAATCTTTCTTTTAATTTACTCAGTGGGACTTTAAAGCGTGTGCTAGAACATTCAAATAGCCTTTTTGTGCAACTGAATCCTAACGGGAAGTCTCCAGAATGGAAATACCTTACACTCTAATTGCATCGAACAGACGGCAAGACTTGCAGCATCCCAGCTCACTTGTTAACCTCCCGCTTTACAGCATGCCAGCAATGTGAACTGCTGTCAGGAAAAGCATACTTCATACAGGTGCTGAGTGAACAAGGAACACCACACTCCACTTGAACCACGGATAACCTGTGCGAGGTAGTAGTTAACTACCTACTTCTTCCGTATGCAGGTAAATCTGTACTTGGAGAATTCATCTTGTGACACAACTTCCAAAGGCTTTTTCTTATACAACGGTTGCCATCCTTAGTGTACTAAGTGAAAATACGTGCTGCTACCTTTTCTCTATTTGCAATCTTTTAATTTTATTGAATGTCCCTTGTAAACAGGCTGCCAGATAAGAACAGAAGTTCTCTGTGAACAACAAGTTTAGTATATAAAAATAAAACCCAACTACAAAGCAGAGTTTGTTCCAAATGCTGACAACGGTCTTGCTATAAGCTGAAAAATGATTCTGTTGCCTAGTGACATGGCTTTGAAGCAGGAATTAATATTTCTAATACTAATACATCAACAATTTTGCATTTTGTGAACACACAAAGGTTATCACAGGTCACGGTACCAAAATAACTTTCTGTGCGCATGTCACTATTCCATAATAAATGTGAGGTCATTTGAGGTAGCTTATCAGTCAACTCTAGTCATGATAATGCCTAGGAATCTGTTATTCCAAAATGATGTGTTCATGCCTACATACCCTACGCTAAAATCATCTGAATGTGCAAAGCTGACCGACTACTCTACAAAAGCAATTTCACAGAATTTCACAGGTTTGTTCTTCTCTCATATTCAGCACAACTTGGCACTTCTCCAGTGTACACACAGAAGCCAAAGGAAAAGGAGTTACACTACAGCAACTCCCGCAGATCTTTTGGAGGCTAAAATGAAAAAAAGAGCATTTTTCACAATTAGCGTGCCATGTCGGTAGCATGACTCACAATCCAGAATTCAAAGCAATGGTTCTGACCGACTGGATCTGAACAGGTCCCAGCACACCCCCTTGATTACCTGTAGAAAGCTGGGTGGGAAAAGGGTTCATTTCTTTGTCCACCATTTTCTGGTATAAAGCTCTCAAGCTGAACGGCTCCACAGTAAAAGGTAATGTTCCAGTCAACATCGCGTACATGTTCACCCCACTAAAAGAAAACAGAGAGAAAAAGAAACCAAAATGATGAGGAACAAGGAAAAACTTAGGCTTAGGTTTTAGTGACTCTACTTCATCTCTAGTGTTTGACAGCTATTAAAAAAGATCAAAAAAAAAAAAGCTCTCTTTTCTGTTGCACACAACGATTTGGGCAAGAATTCCCAGAGGTTTGCTGATGGAGGCTCACACAATGTGCAGGACATACGCTGGGAGCCACGGAAGCAAGCGCAGCTATTAGGCAACTCCTCGGCTAAATGCCATGCCACAACGAAGTCTCTCCTCAGGCTGCAGAAACATGCTGCTTTTTGGGGCTTTTGGAGGCCTTGTCCCAGTGCTGCCCTGGGTGCGGAAGGACTGCCTGCACCAACGGGGACACGGTGGGTCCTGGTTCAGCGCCCAAAGGTGACCTCCACAGCCTCTGGTGCAGCCCTAAGGTCGGGTGTGAACAATTACATTTTACAGAGCAGAAAACATACTGCTCCTTTGTGCCCAGCGATGAAAAGTGGGTTGGGCACTCTTCTTCTGCTTCCTCTTAAAAGGGCTTTAAATTCAATTTGAGTGGAATTCCTCCCTTTTGGAAATTTGTTTTCCCAGTCATGCATGTGAACAGAAAGAAACTAAACCTATCATGAACTGTGATCACAGACACCCTTTGTTCAGCTATGAGGAAGGGTAGGAGTTAACCATATTTTCTTTCATTTATTAAAAAATGAAGAGCAGGATGTTATTACTGGAGAAGTTTAAATGGTTTACAAGAATGACTGTGCTCTGTTTGCCTGTGTTCCTCAGGGCCGGTACTCTCAACTCTCAACACGGACGGACGACCCACGGCTGGAGTGAGAAATTCAGGAGCCATACAGTGATTTAGCTGTGGGTCTCCTTGGAGGACGGACTGCAAATTAGGCTTCAGCAGAAGTTCTAAAGAGCCTAGCGGGGCAAGAAGGTACCCACTGGATCAAACTGAGAGATGAATTTGACCCAGGTCCTAGTCTCATATATAAAAACTATGGCCAATCTTTCTTGGCATCAGTAGTACTTATCCCGTACTTCACATTTTCCAAGCATTCCACATACTTCAACTTGGGAATTGGCATAATTCTGTTATTTCATTGAAATGTATTCAAATGGTATTATCCCCACTTGGTGAGGGAAAATCTGCTGATACTAAAGCAAAAGCTAAAACTCAACTGACTTCATCTAATTCCTCTCCAGGACTGACTGACAAAGATAACTGACACCATGCCCCTGGCCAAGAGGAGGGTAGTGGGAGTTGCACAGTCTGAAACAGGACCGCAGACAAATCCATTGACTCCAAAACATCTTCCTGGCTTCCCCTACCTCTGGCACCGGGGACTTCTGTCTGTTCTTTTGCCCGAGCACTAGTAAGCTCACAAAGGCTCACAAGTTTTCTGGCCATTTTTATTTCCCCTTTAACTGTGCTTTCAAAGCCACTTGATTTCACACTTCTTGTCAGGCTTGACTGTGGATAGTGCATGGAGCCCACAGGAATGCTTCAGGATCCTTTGGGGAAAAATAAAAAAGCTGTTGGTCCTCTTGTTCCAGAGCCATGTCTTCTACTATGTCTGAACATCACTGATCAACAGTTGTGCTTTACCGCAATCTCTCCATGTTGTATGTTCTAGCGATCTATATACAGGTACGTAAAGATGTATTTCAAAACAAGATAGCTGCGCAGCTGAGTTCACAGAGTCATACTAATTAAACGGATTTTCTGGCTCAAAGTAGCCAAATACATTAAAACATTTCTCATTTGAGCAATGGATAACGATGACAGTAATAACAATTTTAAATCAGAGAAGTAACTCACATGGACCAAACGTCTATTTTGGGCCCGTATTTTTTTCTTGCCAGAAGTTCAGGGGCTGCATATGCTGGGCTCCCACACTGGGTGCTGAATGGATCAGAATAACCCAAGATGCCTGCACAGTTGCTCAATCCAAAGTCTGTGAAAGGCACAGAGACAGTTATGAAAGAGGCAGATACAGTAAAACCATGCTAGAACACAAGGGAAAAAAAGCACATTTTTTCCGAAAAGCTAAGCAATGAACTGCCTAAGAAAAAATCATCCACATGCAAAAATTTATATATAATTTCTGTCTCTGAGGTGCTAAACAACCAGAGATTTCCACAAACAACAAAAGCCTTCGAACACGCACAATTATCAATTTCATACACAAAGCAACTACATTTCACCGGGAACTGCATGGCGACAACCGGCATTGAGCTTGTCCCCAGCACTATGTGATGTGCGCGGGGCAGAAAGCCACCTCGGGCTGTCCGGGTGCTGCAGTATGTTATGTAGAGGCCAAGTTTAAGTGGGACTTCTTCAACATTTTCCTCTAAATCGTGTAAATGAGCCATCAGAGGTAAGGCGGGGGGGATGTTGTTTTCTGGGAATACTGCAGCGATGCACAAACGCGCAGGGTTGCAGAGTCAGCATTTCAGCTCTGAAATAAGGCAGGGAGATCTTGGAGCAAGCAGGGGAATGGTGATTTGGCCTCCCCCTCCCTGACTTCTGCCTTGAATTACCGTATTTCTGGCCCCGGGTGTACCCGACACTCTTTTGCTGGCAACAGTAAGAAGGGACTGAGGGCTGGCACCACGAGGTGATGGGAGAGAAGAGGCAGCCTCTCTCTCCGCGCCAAAGGAGGCTGCCATTTCCCCAGTGCTCTCGGCCAGCCCAAGCCCAGGCTGGCACCGAGAAGGGTGTTCCTGCAGTCTCCCTCGTCCGCTCCAGTGCTGGTATGGCTGCAGGCTGGGTTGGGTTTGAGAAAGGGTCTTAAAAATTAAACCACTAAGCAAGGGAAGAAAGGCAGAGTCGCAGCAGCAGCGGCAGAAGCAGCTGGGGGCAACGTGCAGGCCCGCCCTGTCCAGTGGCAGCCCGTGCTTGGCTTGGGAGAAAGCTATTATGAAACCACAGCCCGAGAGACAACATCGGAAGGAGAGGAGAGGTTGCAGAGGGTCTTGAAAGCGAAGTCAAACAACTTGACGTGATAAAGGGAAGAAGCAAGACAAGCGTGCAAGGAGGAGGACGACAGGGGCAAGGCTGACAGGCTGGGAGAACAGCCTTTGCTGCAGGGCAACATATCAAGGAGCAGAGGACCCAGAGAGGTCACCACCGAAGATGTCTGCATTTATTAATAACTTGTTATCGATGGCAGCTGCAATAACAAAAACACCGCTCACTGCTGTTAAGAACACTGACACCTGTTCTGTTCCTTTCTTTTTTTGGATCCATGTGTCTCGTAAAACAGCAGCTCCCTGGGTGTGCTACCCGCCTGCCTCACGGGCACCGCACCTCGCAGGCCGAACGCAGCAGGCCACCGCTGAGGCCATGCAATACTCTTGTCTCCACAGAGCCATCGGTTTGGGTCTCTATCCCTTACCTGCCTATTTATCTGCGTAAGACCTGAAGTAACGGCCTGTCCTTTAGCTTTTACCCCACGTTAAATTTGGCTGAAATCAGACAGGAGTTCCTCAGGTTATCAGAAGTGCCCTGACAGGGCGGTCACGTAAGCCTTGTTCCCTTACAAAACCACGCAAAAAAATAATAATGCTTACAAAAAAAATGCAATTATAAAGATGACTATGTGAGCGGGAGTGCCCAAATCACTGCACACTGCTTCCCACTCAACTGGCTGCACCTCTGAGACCAAGAAAGCACAGGAGAGACAAGAATCGCCATATTTAACATCTAAAGAGGCTCCAAGGGGTTTTGCTGGAGAACATTGTCAAAACTGAAGGGAGGATCAAGACAATTTCTTTGCCTCTGATGGAAAACAACTGTCTCTGGACACTGCTTAATCATCTCTGCTAGATACGTACTATCCCTGGGGCTTATTCAAATACTTCCGAGGATCCATTTACTTAATTAATGTATTTATTAGCTATGGCCCGAGATGAGCTAAGTCAATTGTATAATACTTTTAAAACTCCTAGAAATAGTATCTCCACACAGTATTATTCATAGTCTTTTCCCTACTGTGCCATACCACCTCAAAATTACTTGACTGTAATATATTTTTTACAATCAAAGTATATAAAGGCCATATTCTGAGATGATGTAAATCAGCATCCCTTTATCATTATCAATGAAGCTATACTCTTGTGGAGGTTTTCATTATCTTACTTGTTTAAACTATGAACACCTTATTCACTTTTTTCAGCTCATTCATTTAATCTAGGCTGGTATACTCTTTTTTCTATTGCCTGCTGAAAGGCAGAATGCACACATGCATATTGGGGACAGGGATTTTATCACCAAAGAAATGGGAATATTGTTATTAACACTGTGGCAGCACATCGTGATCGCAGTGTGATTTTTATTACGGATGCACTGCTGATCTTGATAAGAACAGTATTACCACCAGCATCGATAATTTCACTGCCATTCCTGCCTCTGTCTCAGGCCTCCTTTCAATAAACTGAGCTAATTACAGAATTCAGATCAAAGGCCACACTTGGTTTTCCCAAGTAAATATTATGACATGGAAACTCCACCACCCCCACTGTTCGTACTATCGAAGTATCGCATTGCACTACCACTCTTCAACGCCTCCAGGAAATCAGCATGAAGCTATGGATATATGGCTATCTCTGAAGCTGTGCCCGTTGGAATGGGGAAAGCGTTATTAAATAGCAGAAGCCTTAGCACCAAGCTCACAGGCAAGTTTGAGGAGCCGAGCTCCACGGAGCTCAGCAGAGCCATGTATCGGCAGGGTCCTCGTGGTGCCACAGGTCCTCGAGCAGGATGCCAAGGACTTCGCATAGCCCGTGAGTGGCTTTCCACGGCATCTTTATCAGACACCTACCATTATGGGCTGGTAGATGAAGAGAAGCAAATTATTTTCAGTGTTTCCAATCCTGACGTTCTTAGATTTGAGCCTTAACAGACAGCTAAGTCCACTTAAAACAGCAAAGGGAATTTTTCTAATACTAAGGACATACCATAAACCACCTTGTCACCTAGCTAAAAAGAGTACCAGAAGCAAAGTGCCATTAAGCAGCTGGGTAAAGAAAGGGACTCGAGGGATTCAGTTCTCACTGAAATGCACGAACAAGCAGGACTTTCAATGTCACTTCCTGGTACATTTTTAATCTTCATTTCACCTTTTCTTTTTCCTTTTTGGTGGGTTTTCCTCATTCCACAGCTATCGCAAGGGCAACATTTTCAACACGTACTAGTGTATCTGCGGCTGCACAAAACACAGAGACCAAGCTTCCACCCCAAAGCAGTTAACGTGAGCTGGTTTTGTAGCTTAAAGTCTCTTCTCCCAACCATGAAAAGCAGCACATAACTCCTCAAAACATGCTCTTTGCTACTGAAGAGCCTTCCTAGGCACAACTATGTGAAGATGCAACTGATCCGTCACATTTCTAGAGAAAGACAGACTACATAAAATATTGGCCTAAGCACTGAATCAGCTGAGCGAGGGAACAGGCAGGGAGGAGGAAGAGGAGTAAATTATCTGGTGTATAAATTATCTGGTCTATTACACCAGCCACAGATGGGTGCTGGACAATTCTCCTTGCCCTGGGAAACCCTGGTGGCAATGGAAAGCTGTGTGGCAGCTCAAGCACTGCTTCTGCCACCACCTGGAAAAGCGGTGTTGGTGAGGAGAGGTTGCCCAGGGCAGTTTCGGCAGCCTCTGCTCCTGCCTTCCCTGCAAGCACAGCAGACAGAGCGTAAAGAACGGAGGCACTGCTTCTGTAGGGAGAACAACCAGAGATCGCCAGCATCACTAGTGAGATACGGCATCAGCTGATGGAGATATTAAATCTGGTTCTACTTACAACTAAATTATTACCAATAAAGCAATCTTTATTTTTCTATAACATACCCAGTTGGACAGTGGGATTTAATTGCTTTGTTTTAAAATATATACTGAGTACAGTCTGCTTTGCTTAAAACATCAGGCTGCAGACCTGAGGACAATTTATTTCAACGCTAGCAAGGCTATGGAAGATCAAACTGTCTCTTTTCTCTATTCTTCCCACACCACCCACTGCTAGGAGACCTTTCTATGCAACTAAAGCAAATGAAACTGCAGGAATAGTTCTGAAGTAATTTTTTGGCATGTGAGTTTTAATTGTACACGTATCATCTGATTAGGTCTGGGTTTGGATGTCAAGTTCACATACTGTTGTGTAATCAAACACCCAATAACGGGAAAGTTATAGAAATTCTTTAAATCTATCAGATGTTCATATAGCACTGTTGCAAACCATCTGGTCTCACTTATCTGCTAAATCAAGATAATGGGTGGTATCCATCATTGCTGATGAATGATTCATGGTAACATATCGGTATCCTCTTGACCCGTAGCTGAGGTAATGCAGAGTTCTCTTTTGCTATTATTTTCCCATAGTCAGTTGATTCACTACAGAGTAATGACTAAAAGTTGGGGTAATATTTCCAAAGACTGAATTCCCTAAGTAAATTTTGAATATTTCAGATTCCATTAACCTTACTCCTCTTGTTTGTTCGGAGATGCATGTGCTTTGTACATTACAGTGAGTGTCCGTTTCACCTGAATGTTAAGTGTTTTTCATCACTTTTCAGATTATGAAACCTTTTGATGAAAGAAAGTCAGTCGAGTTTTTAAGTCTGCAACCACAGACACTGCTGTTGGCAAAAGTGTAGGCATGGCGATAAATACAAACAGATGTTTGGGGTTTATTTTATGAAGGGAGTATTTTCTTTTCAATGCCCACATTAACATTAATGGAAGTTATGCAAAGGCACTGAGAGACTATACCCACTGATGATTAATCCAAAATGTCTGCAGGACTTGAATGAATTGAGCGCTGCGTACAACTGATACCCGAATACAATCAAGACTCTATCATTGTTCTTTTTTATTTTTTAACAGTCCTCTAAACCAATTTCGTATTGGGTACTGGAAGCAAATTTAACGAATATAAATATAGGACCAAATTTTGCCAGCTGCTAAAAATGTGTGCAACTCCCACTGTCTTCAGCAGAAGCATATGCATAGGGGGCAGAATCCAACCCCTAGTAAATATGAAATTATCAAGATAATAAAACAAATCACTTCTGTAGTGTCAGTTCTTTAAGTTTTTTACAAAGTTCCCGATCTGAATATGAAAGCTGTTGGTTAAAAGATGTAGGATTTTTCCCCTGCCCGGTTTAAAGCTGAATTATTTGGAACACTTTTTTCACAAGATGCTGTCAGGAACAGCTTGATTGCTATCTATACTCTCTCAGCTCCTCTCTGCAGCAACATTAGCAGTTGTCACATGCAGGAGTATGAAGTCTCAAAAACTCTCTTCATAAAACTACCAATTTTAATAACTTGAATTACCAAACTGGTTTCATACCAATAAGCTTGATGTTGTTGTCTTCATCTAGCAACAGATTTTCTATCTTCAAGTCTCTGAAAGAAATAAAATATTTTGAGTGAGCCTCCAAAATAATGAAGCAGCTTCCCATCACTCTCATCAGTGTATTTACAAGATTGATATATAATCACGCGTATAATGAAAGCAGTGCACACAGTTCCACACTCAAAGCAGAAAGCCCCATGCATTGTCTCCTCTCCAAAATTGCCAGTGCTTTCACACACAGTTTCACACCTATTCTTCAGGCACAAAATGACTTTATAAACATTTGTCAGTACATCCTGTAATTAATCAGGTTCTTCAAATTTCTCATGTACTTAAAAGTCTGCAGAAATCTTATACACTGGAAACATTTCAAACACATGTTTTTGGAACTGCAGGTCACTTTCGCATTACTTTTCACAACCAAAGGCTCTTCACTGGCCAGCTGAAGAACAAACCTTCTTCTGCAGAGATCTGAGGAGTCAAACGCCTGTCCTCTGCTACTGCCTACAAGGGAGACCAGAATCAACCTTCCCTGGGGAGAAAACACCCGAACTCCTTCTAGAGGTGGTCACCATTGGTACTCCCATAGGCTAGGGGTGAAAACCGCGGCTGAGGGATCGAAATGACTTGCCCAATGCCACTCGGAAGGCCAGTAACAAAGCCGAGAGAGGAAGCCACGCAGGTTTTCCGAGTGCCACGTTAGTGCTTTCTCCACCATGCCACTCTGCCCGACCCCACAGAACCACTACACAGACCGGTTTCAGGAGAGAGAGGATAAAATGAAAGCAGTCTCCTTCTACAGAATGACTGACCCTTCTTCTGATAGGTACACCAGCACATTGTTCACTTTACATGTGCCCTTTCATCACTTAAAAATGTGGTTGTGCTTTCCTAAGCGATGTTCTACCTAAGAAAAATATCCCAGAGATCACACATACATACACAAAAACACCCCAAAACCCCAAACTGTACAGACTAAGCATTAAGTTTAATACAAAAAAATCATTTAGGTAGCTACACAACTTGTCCATGACTTCTAGCAGTTGGCTGTGTCTTTATCACAATAATTTTTCCTCCATCCAGACATAAAATATTTCTAACAATCAGCACGCTGGGATATCAATAGCTCAGACGGGCAGTGATGCCTCTCCCAGCACGCTTCAGAAAAATCTGGATAATAAAGCCATCAGCTATAATTATGGGAAGTCAGTGACATCCATGGTATTTTGCCTTTGTAAGGCAAAGGGAGTAATGAACGATGCCGCTATTGCAGATGAAGATATAAGGCTTAACAAAATAAGACAAGTAAACCAACCAAACCAAACAAAGTACTTCCACAAGAAAGGATCTGGGAAAGAAAGAAAAATAGCTGTGACCAACTTCAAGCTTTTTTTAAAACGTTCCTCTCCATTTCTTTTTATGCCCATCCTGTGTTTCCAATAAACCTGAGGCAGAAGAGTACTTGGAGGTAGGATGCTACTCACTTCACCAATACGACCACAAGGACCTTCTCCAAACAGATGTTTCTACACCCCAGTGAGCATTTCCTGCAGATTTCCCTTGCTTCACATGTGAAAAGAAACAGGGGAAATACTACATAAATCTACCGAAGGAGAGTATTTTGCAAATTTCCGGTATCGGAGTGTGTCCAGGCTTTCCTAGAGCATCCCGCTGAACACGCCCTGAGGGGAGGACTGCCTTCTGCACCAGTCCCCTTCTCGGAGAAGCAAGGTAACTCAGTCAATAAAGCACCAGCCTGAGAGATGGGAGGAGGGGATTATGCTCCCTCCTCTGGCAATAACCCAGCGTGTTAACTTGAGGAAACCAGCCACACTAAAAATAGCAGTTAATTTCAAACACCACAGCAGAGATGTAACCACATTTGGCCGTGTTTTGACAAAGACCGAGCCTACAAAGAGCCCACTCTCCAGCTCTGCTCCTTCGGCAAGCACCGGCTCCGGGCCGTGCACCCCGTGAGCCCAGCTGCCATCCACAGCATCCCTCTCCTCATCCGCGGGGGGCTCGGCGTGCCGGCACGGCACTGCAGACCCACCGCTCCATGTCCTCCCAAAGGAGCTTCCCTCCTAGGGCGACCGCTGCCGCTGAGAAACGCCTTGATACAAGGAGGACATGCCCTGCCAGATGGATCCAGATCAACCCACTTCTGCTCCCCTCCACTGCCAAAAAAGGGCTTATTTCTTCACATCTCACGTCTTTATCGCTTGCAGGTGGAGGTTTTCCACAGACAGTGAGATTAGCCTCTAGAAAGATACCAGGGCTGGGAATTTGACAGGAGAGACTGCCAAAAAAAAAAGCACTATAGGAAAGAGGAAAAAAAAAAAAAAACCAAACCCAAAAACCTCAAAAAACCAAAACTGAACTGAAATCAACAGAAGCACATGGAGCTTCGGGTCGTACACTGCAATGCTCAGTACAGTGTCTCAAAGCAAGGAGAAAGACCATTTGGAAGCTCTGAGGATATTAAACATTAGCTAAGAAGAGGTAACACTTTAAAAATAAAGTCAAGGGAATGGAAAGATGAAAGCTGTAAGTTGAGGAGAAAAGTCACACAGGCAATTAGAATAATAAATGAGTGATGGGAGGCCTAAACATAAACATAAGATACTTAAAAGGATTCAAGGTTAAAAAAAATAAAACCAAAGGTAAATATTGCAGGGCATTTTAAAGCTATCAGAGGAAAAAAAAAGTAAATATAGCCTCAGTATAGAGTGCAATCAGACCTGCTTAATTAAAGACGTTTACCCATATGTCTGTTTTCAGCAGATTCACCAGTAAGCGGTAACAGATCTAATAGTCCATATGCACCACATTTTTGTCAACCCATGTCACTATGAAAGCGCTTTTTTTTGGTGTGACACCGGGAGCTAGGACAACAGGTTTTTACTCCTTGATACAAGCTAATGAGAAGATTCCACGCGAACCGGCCTTAGAAACGCGCAGCAAAAGCTGTACCAAACCAAACCAGAAATCCCCAAAGCTGGAGAACTG